CTGGGGTCTCGGGTTCGATTCCCGGCGGTGCCCGAATTTATAACTTGTGTTGGGCAAGGCCGTGGTCTAGGCAACACGGAGTTTTCCTCCGTGGCATCCCAACAATTACTCCATTCACACACAGAAGAAGGCAATGGCAAACCACTTCTGGATCATCTGCCAAGAACGTATATGAACAGGTCCCAGTCCGAGAAAAGGATGGAAGGATCCTGTTCATATGGACCTGTCCTCAGACAGAACACTAAATACAAATAATCAACGTTCTGATGATAAAGGACAAGTGTTAACCACTCGACAATGACTTTCGGTGAATTAAAAAAATTCATATTTTCTACGAGTGGCCCACAGACACACAAAAGCACGAGAATGGTGAATAGATTGTAACATAAAACACTGTCCTATGTCTTAAACGTGGCTAATGTTTATCGAATGGTCAGTGAATTTCGTCGATTCCATAAAAATATAGCAGGAACTGAAGAGACATGGAGATGTGTCAAACGGAGTGGAAATCTAGTCATTTTCTTTGGTTGTACTGCATCAAAGTCCCTCTTTGTAGGTGTTTCCATAAAACATCTCCCACTACTCCTCTCTCACTTCCCCTCATGCGCAAATCTCCGGTCACGAACAAAAAATCAGACTGTGCTGTACAATACAGCTGGCATAGTACGATACAATCTTTGAATAACAATGGCATCGCATCTGTCAGATACCTTCACAGAACAACCACATGAAACAGAATCACGAGGTAGCAGGTTCCTGGTTCTGGATTACATTTCTTTCTCTGGTATTCTCGATTTCTTCCAGGGAACGCAGCAGACATGGAAGCTATTCTCAGTACAGAATCATTATGGCCACTATCTTCGGAGCGTATCGGCAGAAACAATCAGCCATTGTCCGACGAAACCAGTACGACGAAAGGGGATCACGACAATGGAGCTCGTGGATTTCCATTAGCGACACAATCACAGACCGAGCGGGGGTAATGGAGGATTTTGGGTTCGAATCTTGTTTTAGCTGCCGGGTCATCAGATAACACAAGGTCGTTCTTAAACCTTTCCATGGCCCCGAAAACGACTAGACACCAACGTAGACACGGGCTCATATATCAGACCAATTAAATCAAAATTTACGGAAAATTATACGCTCATTGTCGTTCTCTACTATAAAATAATTTTAACTCCAAAAGCTCAGAGGTTTAACTACCAGCTTTAACAATTTTTAACTCTACATTTTGTATTTACGTGTTTCGTAAAATTCTCAGTTTAAACAGCGATCATTTTCTTAAACAGCGTTAACCAGTTGATGTTTTTAATGGTGAAGAGCTGTGTTTTCTTCGCGGTACGGACTGGATTCTTATATATTATTTAGACGAGTTTCCATTTCAAAGAGTTAAATATAATTGTAACAAACGTTGTTTATTAAGAGTATAAAAGTAAAGCTGTCACATTGTACGCCATATAGGCGCTTGGGGGAGGGGGAGAGGAGAAGTACCTACTCTCGTCTTTCTACTGCAAAGTTGTCATCTAGCAGCATTTAAAACCACAGGACATAAAGCCAGGCAACAGAATGGCCGGGTAGCAAATCAATACAGGTAGCATCGAACCAGCGTTAATCGCCAACTGTTGATGGAATACACAACGCATAGCAATCTGCGAGACTTGGAAGAAATATGGTAACGAAACCTGGTCGCTCCAGGCCAGTTTTCAGTGCCGACAACATAGAGTAAAAACAAAACAAAATTATTCCCAATAAACGATGTAATAACTTCCGAAACGTCTGTCGGATTCTACCGGACTACGCCCACAAAAGAACCTGACACATAAGCCCAGAAGATTACAATCGGAAAATGTGAAATATCGGAATATTTTGAGAAATGAAAGAAGTTCATTTTTGACTGGGCAGGATTTAGAGTTTTTTTTTTACGATGGACCTCAATAAATGTTTCATACTTTCATAATTATTGTTTTTCTCTGTCTTTACAGCGAGCGTAGAATTACAGACCGGAGCGTCGTTTCTATTCACACACGATCTTAATAATTTCTTAACACGCGATAATTCTTCTTGTCAAAAATTTGCATAAATTCAGCTGACATTCATTTCCTTTGTGCCAGGAAGCATAATTACAAAGGCGTCGGGCGCTTCGTTTATTCACCGGCTTCAGTGTAAAACAGCAATCACATTAATGGACGGTGCATTGAGGGTTTTAACCCTCGGATGTGTCGTTCAACCCTAAGAATTCAAGGTCACGTCCACAAATATGCCCAATAACACAAGACACGTTTTCACTTTTACATAACGTAAACCAAAAAAAAGTGTAATTCGGGAGGTGCAATGTTCGACTCCCCGCACCTACACAGATTTTTTTTTAGAATAAGCCTAATGCCATGAATCCCAGTTATTTTCTGTCTTATGTGCAAAATATGGGTCCACTCCCTTCGCATCGTACAGAAATTCGAAACACAGATTTTTCCTAATACAACAAGACGTCTGTTCCCGTTCATCTAACGACACTTAATTGACAACATAGGTTAGTGTCAGATGATGGAACGATTATGAATCATGAATTAGGAAAAAACTGTAAGCCTACTAGCCCGTAATTCGAGCCATGTCCTGGTCATACTGAAGAAAATAGCTAAAAATCTCTGTTATGGTTTTTGGGCCGAGATTCGAACCCCGGAAATTCCTACTACAAAGCAGATGTGACAACTATTATACTTCGACGTTCGAACGCGGCTAACGATGCTCCACGAAAGAAAAGCCCTTAACATTTTGAAGCCAAAGCTCGTCATTTAAAGATTCAGTCCGTACCGCGAAGAAAACACTTCACTTCACCATTACAAGGATCGACTGGTTAACGCTGTTTAAGGAAATAATCGCTGTTTACACTGAGAATCATTCGAAACACATAAATACAAAACGTGTTGTTAATGACTGTTAAAGCATATGGTACATATAGTTACCACTGGGCTATAAATGGTTAATATACAGATCAAGACAATTGTGTCGCAAGACCTGATGTCTCGACGTGCTTACACCCTTAGATTTATATATGCTTTCCCTTGTAAGAGTATTTGGCCGCTTTCTGGCGAATACCAGACAATGTAACAAACACATTTCATAAGATTAAAAGGAATTTCAACATCTAGAATTGAAACCATTATTGTAATTATTATATTTCAAGAATCATTTGTTCGTCAACCCCCAAGGCTTCATAACCACGTGTGATATATATTTTCGGTCCACTGAGGCGATCAGACAGACAGACAGACAGAATTCTACTCAAATACCGCCATATTGAACACCTCCGCAATCAGCCTGTCAGACCTCTGGAAGGTCTCCATGACAACAGGAGTCCCTAATCTGCACAGACCAACAGCAGACGCCGATCAAATTAGAAGGTATACACATTTCGATTTTGAGTTACATCACCAGCTATAATGATCAAGGCTTTGTAAAAGTTTTACTCAGTCATTCCAAACAAATGATCAGATACTAACTTGACATGCCACTACTGATTTCCCCAGCCATCCCACGCACAAGGCGAATTACCAGATTCCTAAAGATTAATTAATTTAAAATAATTTTAAAATATAACAAGACAGAGGTCATAACTCGTGCAGGATGAAAAATAATGTCATGATTTTTAATACCGTTTAATTCTGACAGATGGGAGTGATATCTATTGCGATATTCGCCTGGAGGGCCTAAGGAAAAACATGAAGACTCTGAGTCAGGTCAGCCTACCCCCAGATCTCCCTGAATATGAAGCAGGTGCCAACCATTACATTCTTAGCTTTGTTCCGACGTTGAATAAATCAATGTAAAAGTCAGTTTCTGTTCAAATTCGAGATCTTCTAAATTTCGTTCAGAATTTCAGATACAAATAAAGCAATTAATATTATAATTCAAATCACGTCACATCTGAATAAAGCATATTGCAGACTGCCACCATTTTCTCAAGGGTGGTGTAATTTGTGGTCGCTCGCAATGGTCATCTGACAATTATCGTGTTCCGAAACGCAAATACTGACGACGAATCTTATCGAATGTTCCTGTGATACGGGCAATAGGCAAATGGAGTACAGCTATCGATATAGAATAATCTACGCCCTTCTGTTGTCACCGGTCGCAAAGTTTTTGGAGTCAGCACAAAGAAACTTGGTCACAACTTCGGCGAAGATGCCCGTCGTCTATTTTAAGGATATTGCTGGTATAAAAAACAGGTAACCTGGCGTTTTCGGTGGACACACTGCGAGAGCGAGTGGCATTACGAAACCCTTCAGCACAAATATCGTAAAGTTCCCGGAAGAAAATTTCATAATTGTTACCTGAAGAAAGTGCCACGTTCTATAACACCTCCCTAGGATCCCGAAATATGAAGAGGAATATTTTTCAGGATCATCGTAATTGAAACACTCAGGGTAAAGTGTGGTTAATACAGCATTTAAATAATACGCAACACTAAGTTACACTCATAGTTCTTCAACAGCTGCTGTCAAATTCCGAAGTGTCTTGATGGACACAGAATACCAGGAAAAGTCATGATTTCTTCGAAGGGCGTAGTAATTTTTTAATATTCGCTGTCGGTATAAATGACGGTCAGCCAACGTGAGTGAACGCATACAGCATCACGGAACGACGAAGCTTGAAATACCGAACAACTGATCAATAATTACGGGGTATGAAAGTTTACCCAACACCACTTTCTTTCCCATTGGGGATGACGGGAATTTTCAAGGTCATCACAGAAAAAACTGGTTTAGGTCCCATAATTCGTACAGAAATTTACCAGCACACGACATTAAATAACAACGCACGATATCGTCAACATCTGTCCGTGAGTTCTCCATAATTCTCATTACCGGGCGATAAATTTCCGGGTCGTTACAGACAAAATCCGGGTAGGATACCAGAACGCGCGCCGGAACTCACGTACAGGAAGACGTCACATGAAAACAACTCATAAGATATTCAGCCAAACGTGAGTGGACCTCGCTTACCTGTCTCGGTCGGCAGCAGACGAGGGCCTCTACTCCCGGAGCTGGCTAAAACGGCGATGCTGCTGTTCAAGGCGCCCCGGGTGTACCTTCTCACTATTGATCATCGTCTTCTGTTGGCTCTGCCCTCCTCCGGGACAACACTGGGCCAGCTCCCAGCACCTCGCTGCGCACGCGCGGGCTCCACTTCGCGTTGCCATGGTGACAGGAGATGAGGCACCACACACACTGCCTAATCGCGCGGCGTTCTGAAAGTTGGAAAATATAAACTTTATTCGGTAAATGCGCGGCGTTCGAGTTGTATTTATCCAAAGCCAGTGCGTGCTAAACTATAAGGGTTCTCGAACAATTTTAATTGACTTATTAGTTTGTTTAACGACGCTTTATCAAATTCAGAGCATCAAATGAGACGGAAAAATTTTCGATACTGAGTTCGTATAAGCAACTGTGGTATATATGATGAAATTCATGTAGCATTCGACTTTAAATACAGAGGAATACCACGAGAATTCTCTGTGAGTACAATTTGTAACCTCCTTTAAATACAGAAGAATACCAAGGGGATTCTCTGTGAGTACAATTTGTAACCTCAGATTCGTCCTGCCACAAAGAAACTCAGTGGTGTTGAGTCCTGTAGTCTGTGTTCATAAGAGCCCTTAAATGTACAATGCGCATCTCCTTTGCGCATAATTTACGCTGTTCGGAGAGTTACGTTAATTTGTAAATAAAAATCGATCAAAATTTATGTAGGGAAGGCGCCTTAAGTGACATGCTGTAAATATAAGACGATTTAATCACATTAACATTGACCTATCAACGACTGTGTGCTTTCAATAACGTTTAGGTTATCAAGAAACGTTTGAAGCATAAGCTAGTAATCTTCCTGTGGGTATTTTTAACAAAATAAATATTATCAAAATGCCCACAGTCTGTTATACTTGGCCAGGGCCCTGAGAAGAAAGATATACATTCTTCTCATGAACTACTATTATGTTTGCCAATAAAGATTGCAGAACGTGTAATTTTATAACGATTAATAAACATTTCAGGTATGGCGGAGCTAAGAAAAGCAGCACCTTGGTTAAAAATATGATGAAAGTTGACGTCTTGTATGCGGTAAATCCATTGTTAGCTAATAAACATATGGACTGACAATAGGAAATAGTCTGTCCTATTAGCTCTGTGTACACATAGTTCACACACAAAAACTTAGTGTGTCATTTAACCTAAAATTTCTTGCATTCTTTTCCGAACCATAACCTAAAAACACAACAAAACTTATCGAATCAGTTAGTATTAACTACGACTTACTTCCAGAATGTTCACCGTATAACTGTTTCAACAAAGTGATCACAAATCTTAGGCTGCCATTGTTGATAAAATACGATCGTAAAACCGAACAGAAATGCTAGAAAATATTCTTCTGCACACGTAGTCTGAAAACATGGCTCCCTTAAAGACGCCATCTTTAACTGAAATTGAGTACCAACTCAACGAAATTTATGGCGATAGATTTGATATCATCTTTGGTGTACGTTTGTCAATAACAAAATGGTAACAGTTAACTCATCTACGAAATAACAGAATTTATATTTTCTAGCAAAACTACATCACATCAACTCTGCCATTTATTCGTGTTACGTATTCGTTGCTAAAAAAAAATGAGAGCAATAATGTTACAAATATTCCAAACGCCCTCTGCCCAGTATCAAAGAGCCCACTGTAATACCCCATTAAGGTCGTCATCAAACATCGCGAAAATGTAAACGCGTAGCTCACTGCCTCCAGCATCTGTAACACGTGTTTCTAGCTGAAGAATAAGAAATTGAAAAGTCAAAACACGACGAAGAATAAAGCTGAGCGGTAACTAGAAATACACGTTAAGGTTCAACCAAAACAGATTAAGTCAACGGCCATAATGATTCGTGTTAATGACGTAGTCGAGGCCATCGAAGACTCTAGAAACCGTGTCATTCCGAGGTACAGAGATGCAGGGTGTATGTTAATTACGCGGCTGCAAGCGAGTGACCGTGTCCTACTCAGTAAATCACTCGCTGGATTACTGATTGCCTTTGATTGTTTGTAAAATCGCACTGTAGATCATTACAGAGCCCACTCTGCGTTGTGACGTCAACCCAACAGGCGGAAGGCCAGAGATGCGTCTTTTGCTACTCTGACGTCAATCCAACAGACGGAAGGCCAGAGATGCGTCTTTTGCTACGTTTAAATCGGATGCTGAAGTCGTCTCAGTTGAATTAAAATATACAAAACTATATTTTACCTAATACCTTATGGGTACTGCCACGGTGGTCTAGCGGTTAGAACGCTGGCCTTGTAATCCTGGGGGTCTCGGGTTCGATTCCCGGCGGTGCCCGAATTTATAACTTGTGTTGGGCAAGGCCGTGGTCTAGGCAACACGGAGTTTTCCTCCGTGGCATCCCAACAATTACTCCAGTCACACACAGAAGAAGGCAATGGCAAAACACTTCTGGATCATCTGCCAAGAACATATATGACTTCTGGGTGTGAATCTTGGTAGGTCTTGTTAAGGGAAAATAGATTGGGGTTTTTTGGCAGCTGGGCGCTTAGAGGAATATTTGGACTTAAGAGGGATGAAGAAAATTCCATAGTTTGTACTTTTCATCAGATATTACGGTGATCAGAACAATAAGGATTAGATGGGCTGGGCGTTTAGAGTTCATAAAGAGATGAGAAATTTGTACAAAAATTTTTGTTAGAAAACCTGAAAAGTTGAGTTTATTTGTAAGACCTAGAAGTAGACAGGAAGAGGTATTTTATTTGTAAACACGGTAATGAACCTTCGGTTTCCATTGATGTTCTGCGTATTTATTTTTATTTAAGAGTACAAAACAGTTTTTTTTCCCAAAAAACGTTTCAACGTGATGCAATTTGTTAATACGCATAATTTACCAGTTTTTACAAAAGCAGCTTTCCATAACCTAGAACAAAGTTAGTCTTTTAGAACTTCGAACGGAAAGAGCTCGCTCATCCATTAGGGTAATTTGAAACTTATTCGGTCTCGAGACGGCCGCGGTTAACCAAACACGTCTGTACGTGTAACAGGGGCTTCTCTCTGATTAAAGTTTATCGAAGTGAAAGTCAGCCAAGTCTGACGGGAGACGAAAGACACATCTGCGTACACTTCCAAGAAGTTTTGCATCGAAATAGGATAAGTTAACACATTAATCACTTTGTTTCAAGCCTAATATGTCTTCTGAAATACGTCATACTAACCCGACGTAAGATATATTTCTTTGGAACCATCTAGGATAAAGAGGCGTTAATAGAGAAAAAAAATATTAAAACGTATCTTAGGGTTAGGGTTTTTAATCCTTCATAACACAACGGTAAATACAGATTATGCAGAAGATGTTTTAACTCTGAATTTTACTCACAAAGTGCAGTCATGAGTTTCGTATGATTCTCGGTTTAAATTGTAATTATTTCCTTAAACATCGTCAACCAGTTGATCTTCGTAATGGTGAAGTCCTGTGTTTTCTTAGCGGTCCGGACTGAATTACTATATATTATTTAGCCGAGTTTCAGCTTCAAAAGCGTGAGTATATAAATATATTTAAAAAAAATCACAAAGAAAATATCCTATTGAAAAACTAAGCCATCCCAGGTGGTCAACTCCATATTTTTATAGAACCAGAACGTTCATCGCCGTGTTCCCAAAAGCTTGTCACTGGAATGACAAAAGATACTGCTCGTATGTTTTAGGTTACTGAAACCCGGAAGTTTATCTGCTACAGAATCGCAGGCCGGTTCAAGATCTCGCCTCAGTGGCTTATTACGACGACTTGAAGACAAAACACACACAGTAACCGCATAGCGCCGTGGCTGTAGGCATTTCGATTTTGCCAGTGCCATAAATAATATTCGACGTTTATAAATGCTGTTTAGCTTCAAACGCAATGCAGGCAGATCGCGAGAGCTTTGACGTATCCATAATGACTTAAGTCAGACCGACAAAAACATCCGCAACTGAAACCAAATTCTGGCCAAGGACAATGTCGAAGAATCTTATGAAGTCACGTCAGTCTCCAAGGAAACAAAGAGTTTCCTAAAAATTCGACCATTCAGTCGAGCGATTTCTCGTATTTATGGAAATCCATGAAAATATATTTATAGAATTTTAGCAGATTACTCTCTTGGGGGAAAACGTCCACTGAGGAATCTGAATCTTTGGAGAATTGGTTGTGATGACGGGAGGCGAATGCAATTGTCTCCATGGCAAATGTGGTTCTGCAACCACTGCGTTAATTTTTTTATCATGGAACTCGAAGGTTCATTACCGTGCTCACAAAACTCCGCCATTTGACCCCACATTGAGCCAGCTGAATCCATTTCACATTGGAAAGAGGTAGCGAAGTTATTCTGGACCATCTACAAAGCAACATCGGACAGACTTCGTCATCAATTTCGCTTGACCTTGTGTCTCTGCTTTAGAAAGAATCAATCTGATGAGTTCACGGTTTAATGTCGTTATGTACTTACCCACCAGATGCCTCTAGGATCAGTCGGTACAATATCCTCCTCAGAGATGGCACACCATGTTATAGAGGGTGGCGCTTACTGCGGCGCTGGCAGGAACTATAAATCACATCCTCGTTTCCAAATCTGTAGAAAAAATAATTTATTCAACAATGTCTGGTTGTTGTCCATTTCTAAAATATGTCGTCATAACAACAGAATATTTGTTCAACCATAGCTATTAAATCACATATATATAATAGAGAAACAGCCTTCATGATTGAAGAATAACCGAATCAAAATATAAATCTGATTCCAGTCTGACAGAAAAATTAATTCATGGCAAAGTTGAACTGGAACAAATTTACATAAACAGGAGACTGAGGTTTGGGTTGACACCTTGTAGTCTTATGTTGTGACCAACATTTTGGAGAACCACGTCACCTCCATCTTCAGTATATCGTCATACCATAGCTAAGATGGTTCGACACTTTCGTATGACAACACAGACCCAGGTTCAATCAATCTGTGATACTATAATGGGTTGGCCATGTAGAGAAGACCTCTTTTAAAAAGGGAAAGATAAAAATAGGACAGATATTTGGGATACATGTTTTTAAAAAAAATGGTTATGAGTGTAAGTTGCCCAGAATCATGGCTGTAACGCGAAATATAAATAAAAATACAGAGATGTATTCACAATAATGTTAATTCACAACACATACACAATTATTGAGGTACTCGTAACTAAGTGTCAGACTACAACAGAAATATCTTTGCTGATAAACAAATTAGACATCTGAAAGAAATTTCGAATCATGTCTAATTGTTACCATTTTCATATATGTAATAAATAGATATTCTTATCTCAAATAAAATAACAATAATGAACTTTTCAAAAACAATTTACATTCCATGACACAGTTAGCTTTCCAGAACACATAAGACCATCAGCACACACGTATTATAAGTTATTTTAAACAATTTATTTCATACAACCATATAAAGGGAGAAATGAATATAATAAAATAAACACACAAACATTACGAACTGTACTCTTACATAATGATACAATTACCGACACAAACAATGAATATATATTAGACACGAATATATAGATATATTCTGAAACAGGAAATGGTTCTATCAACCTTCATCACGTAACACATAACCTAGAAAGTTTCGCGACGGAGAATGTAATCAGATTACGTCATCAAGGATCAGATCCGTATCCAACAATGTTATTTTTCTAAGACGTGTTTACGAAGTGTCACAGATGTACATAAATTATTGCGTAAGATAATTAGAGCTTACAGAATGGTCTCCTAACCTCAAAATCTTCTTACAATATTTACATAATGCTGAATCAGCAGCACATTACTCCTCTGAAACACTTATTAGTGCCAGGAGGCCTCGTCCTTTCACTCTCTCACTTGAGTACGCATTATCGTGAGATTATTTAAGGGCAGACAGGAAACTTAATCTACTTTTTTATCAGACATTCACTGCGTTAGTAGAAACTGAGAAATATGAAGCACGATGAAAAACTTACTATTGTTATTAGGTACTTTTGTAGTGCATTATGGTGACTGGGGAAAAAACCACTGATAAAACCCAGTTAGTATAGCCAACCTTCAAACCTGAATAGATCCAACACGCGGACAATAAGCTTAATATTTACATAAATTCTGGTCCCTTGAATCCTGAACTTCAATTTTTCTGACAGACATCTTTAACACCCACGACACAGGACAACAAGGCGGTGACGTAACAGAGAATCCGTCATTCACTCTGAGGTTATGAGACCACTGGCATCTTTGCCCTCGAGCTCTTTCAACAACGGGATCGTCTTCTTCAGTTTAGTCACCTCAGGGCTGTATCCCCACATCACGAGCTCCACATGCTCTCTTGAGGGCAAGCCCTTAACTTTCCCTTCAGCGCGATACAGAGGAGGTGCATCTTCGCCTTTGATACGCTCCACAAGTGGCTTCAGATTCTTATTGCGATGAACGTCCCACGTGATGGACTTCTCGTCGTGAGAGTTCACCTTCAGCACGCGTAATTTCTTCAGGTCGCCTTCCGCCTCGAGGTAGACCTTCAGAAAGTTGGCCTCGACGCCGGGTACCTCTGTCTTGATGTCGTATCTGTCAGCCAACGGCTTGAAGGCCTGCACCACGTCCAGAGGCAGGTAGGTGAGGTTCTCCTTGGCACGGCTGTGGGATCGGTAATCGTCCAACCATTTCTCGAAAGTATCGATTGCCTCGGCCAGGTTACGAACTTTCTCGGGATCTTTCGTGCGCTTGTGAATAACTTTCGCGCGATGGAACATGGAGTTGATGATCTGGAACTGGAACGTGACGTCGCGTCCCTCCAGCAGATGAAGTGTCTCAAGTGCTTTTTCCTTGTCCTTGAAACCGGCGCCCTGGAAAGTAGTTTCGGTCGTCTCGCTGCCGAACAGATGACCTCCCGACCACCCGGACTTCTTCTCGCCGTTCGAGGATCCGTTCTTTTCCTCAGCGTCCACACCGCGTTTTTCTGATTTCACTTTTGGCATCCTGTGACAGAGAGACGATGTAAGAATACGTAACCTAAGGGCTAATGCTTCGCCAACGAGGATTATGACGAATAAACTATGTTAACAGTTCGATAGCAGAGTAATTTTATTTAACAACGCTGTTTCTACTACAGACGTTGCTCCCAAATTTTGTCTTGGACATTCTAATAAACCTACTCAAATTTTTTTTAAAAAAATTAATTGTATAAGCCTGTGTCAAACCCCAGAAAAAATTACTGCTCCTTAAATCCGCCACTGGCAACACGCCTTCGTCCTGGGGTACACTGATAAGCAGTTTTATCACACACACACACACATAAATTCTTGCCACTAAATCACTCATTGGAATTTGTGTATCTTAAATCCGCCACTGATTGCCTGTCATGGCGATATTAAAATCAACAGCCTTGTCCGAGGCAAGCATGCGCCTTGGAACGCAGACAAATCAGATTAGATTGTACTATTCACGTACTATTAATACTAGCGAAAATGGCTATAATTTTCCCCTTGAGTAAACACGACATAAAATCTTACAGAGGCTACGTAAGTGAACGTACATTTCTACAATGGAAAAAATAAATAAATCAGGACGAACAGGGAAAAATATTTCTGTTCGCTAGCTAATAAAATAATGAAACAGGCAAACGGGTGACACTATTTTTCGAATTATTATTTTATGAGGAACTGTTTCAAAAACTTGTAACTCAAGTTCAGAAACAATAGAATAACATGAAAATGAAATAATTATGAAACAAGAATAAGTTACGCGTGACGCTTTCAATCATATAAATAGGCCTAACAAATGTAAAACTTCAACAATATAAATAAAAGAATAACAGCCTTAATAATATTAACGACAATGAACAATGTCTCAGTGTTCATCCAATCCTACTAACCTGATAATTAGAGACGTAAACTTCCTTTTCACTTTCAAACACAATACAATCCTGTACTCGACTGATGCAGCGTCGATGCAGGCAAAATGTTTTGGCAGGGCGGAATGTAAACAGTTGAAGACTCGACCAATGGCGTCCTCAGGGCAAGAAGGAGACGGACCGAGGCCGTCAGACAACGAGAAACAAGGACGAAGCAACTTTCGACTCGATAAGTGTGTCAGGGTCCCAGAATACGCGAGTGATGTCACAGGATGACGTCACAGACCATAACAAACTACCAATCCGAGTGTAAGAGTACGGGAATATGTAATCTCTATTTCTGAGTATTTTGCATTTGCACAGAAATGTGATCAGTGGCGGATCCAGCAAAACCAATTACTTCTGTGCTAAAAAATTAATTTTAAAACGTAACCAAGTGACACGAGGTGACTTTAGATATGGGAGGACAATATTAAAATGAGTCTTACAGAATGTGGACTAGTTTCAAGTTGATAAAGCTAGGGTACAGTGATGGGCTGTTGTGAACACTGTGATGAACCCTCGCATTTAATTATGCATGACAAGGGAAGCGACTATCAGCTTCTCAAGGACTTTTGCTTAATATAATTATTTAATCTAACCTAATTAATTTGCTAACCTGGAATGTTTGCAGGATTTCAAACGTTTTACGAAATGTTATGACTTACAGAATAGTTTATTTGCATTCTGACTTACCTGCCTCTCCGATTTACCCGATGGAATATTCTTCATTGCAAGTAATCAGCGTTGATAATAAAGTACTTCTTCTGTTTTACTCCACTGTGCATTAAAAATCCATCGCACAGAATTTATGTTTCCGCTCCACTGATTAAAAGTGCTTTGACGTGATTGTACCTACAACCCAGAGCCCTTGGAAATTATCGGTGTTTAACATCTGAATCGAAACGACGTAAAAACTTTGATTTCAGCGCAAATTTTTCCTCTATGAATTCATATTTAAGGTTAAAATACCCAGCAGATGGAGGATACGTCCACAAAGCGTTATGCTCAAAAGACGAACATCGGCTTTTTATCGCCGCCAAAAACCTCAAAATTAATAGAAAATGGTCCATTTATACCTGAGTGGACGAATTCAGTCACTGTCTTAAAATTCAAACTTTATGAAAAGTTACGTGCGTCAGGATTAAATTATTAGTGAAGGAACATTCTGCCTGCGCGTGCCTTGTGTAACAGCGGTCATTGATGTAACAGTCGACGTCAGCTGACTGTCATTCATCGCCGATCGAGTTGCTCAAAGTCACCTGCCTCAAACACGCAAACAGAAACGGAAGTTTGGTCGATTTTGTCCTAGGGTTTACGTTGGATAGGGACACGTACAAACTAACATGACGAGGTCTCATTATCGTCTTTTCTCTACCCGTGGCTGTAAACTCCGGAACCATGCATTATCAGTCACACCGATAAAACAGTTTCCTGGCCAGTGGATTCGTCGTTTTTTGCTCGGGCAAACTAAATCAGATGAATAATTTCTTCGTTCATTTGACGACACATCTTTAACTGCGTAGTTATATCACCCAATGAGAGTATAATTAATTGAATGAGGAACTTGAGAGAAAAAGTTCGTTCGGTGATTATATCGGAGTGTGACGTCACAAGTGGTTCTCGTGTCGCCATGAGGCACACTATCCAAGAAAGATGCTAGTAAAAATTTCATGAACCCGATTCGTCGAAAAAACATTAAAGAACTTAGTCCGTACCGAAAAGAAAACACAACTTTCCACCATTACGAAGATCAACTGGTTAACGCTGTTTAAGGAAATAATCGCGGTTTATTCCGAGAATTATAGTTCGTCTGAATTATATTTAATGATTCAGTCCGTACCGCGAAGAAAACACCACACTTCACCATTACGAAGATCAAGTGGTTAACCCTTTGAAGTCAAAGCTCGTCTAAATATTACGTATTTAAGAATTCAGTCCGTACCGCGAAGTAAACACTTCACTTCACCATTACGAAGATCAGCTGGTTAACGCTGTTTAAGGAAATAATCGCTGTTTACAGTGAGAATCTTACGAAACATACAAATAAAAATGCAGTGTTGCTGATTGTTAATAGTACGTGGTACGTATAATTACCAGTATCCGGTTACCAAACGTCAAGGCCAATCAGGCATACGAAACAGCAAAATGCAGGTGGGAATCACTTTTTCTCGGTGTTTACAACAGTGACAGAGGACGTTTATTCAGGATAAGCGACAGATAAGTATAATGACCAATGTCTGTCTTCTATTTATATTTATGGTGTATTTAGCAACGCTGCCAACAGCTCAGATTACATAACGTCGAATGATACAACGTTTTATTAATAATTAATAAAAATGACGTAAAATTTGTGTTTTTATTTAGGGTACTATCCTGGAATTTACCTGGAGTGTCTGAGAAAAACCATGAAAAATGTATCATAACAGCCTTTTTCGTTTCACCAGGAACATTATCAGTAAAAGAATTAAATTTGTCGCAGGAATTTTCGATGAAATTACTAATATTCCGACGTCCACGTATAGTTTTATTTGGTTGTGAGCTATGATATTCAAATTCGTGTTAAATTTATTCGTGGTACAAAGTCAGACTTTACAGCTGAATCTACGTCGATAAAGGCGTAGGCTACCGGAGTGACCCTGCTCGCCGTTTAACAACGTGCTGTTAGCAGTCCAGTGCTATGCAGCCAGTCACGTACCGTGCGTGACGTGTTAATTATTAATTAGCAGCGAAGGTCTGTACATTATTTGCTGTGAGGCTCGTGTTTACGTTACGTTATAAATATCTTCTTTAAAAAAATCTTAAGGCGTAAATTCTTACGTAAAATAATTTTTTATTCCCTTCAGAATTTATCCCTAAAAAATTCAGACCTTAGCTTCAATCTCCAGACTTTAATCCCAAATAGGAAATTGAACTCAAGCCTTCCAGTCTAGAGATCTGATATTTTTATAAATACTTCATTTCTGGAATCAAAATGTAAATTAAAATAAGAAATTGCAGTCGAATTTTGCTTGCCTTGAAACAGACCACTCATGACCATAACCTCAATTCGTAAGAGGTTACACAACTTCTGAAGTTGATACATCATCGTTGATTAACCAAATAATCGAACAACTCTATGCGGCTGCTTCCAGGAAAATGATTTTATTTTCCGTCTTCAGCTACAAGTACAGAGGATTAACAACGAATAATAAAGTTATTACAACAATTAAGTTATGTCGAGTAACGCGACACCACCAGCGCCTCCATGGCGGTGCGGAATAAAAACTCAACTTCACCGAGCAACGCTGACGAATGGATTACTTTAAATACGTTTTTTATTTTCTCTTTTCGATGCAGGTTATTGGTTCTTAGAAGATTTTTGGTTTATATTACAAAAAAAAAAGGTACCATGTCTAAAATCTTAGTAATTCTGCATTCCCAAAAACAAACTATGCATACTAGGTCACTATGTTGTGAATTTATCGCAACACATTGCATTTAATACATATCTTCCGGGATTTGCGTCTGGTAGAAACTGACCGACGTTTCAGACGAGCTTACTGCCTCCGTCATAACAACGATGATCAATTTGTACCAGACTACAGAGCGCAAGATACTAGAAGACAGCCATCTTGCACTGCATTCGGTTTACAAGTATTGCAGAGACATCTCTTGGTGTACTGCAAGTACAAACTTGTTATATATCCAATAGATGGCAGAGTGGTTTACCTATAGTACGAGAGACCAGGGAAATTATTGAATTTTCGAGTCATATTGCAGTCGCAAATAATCGTGCCTGCGAAACGGTAATTGAGGTCAAATGAGCAGCGGTAATGTGAACCCAATGTTCGAGGTCGGGCTTTATCAGAGAATCACGGAACCTCATTTGGTCTAGAATTTCTATTTATTTGATTATAGTATATTTAACGACTTTCTCCAGTAGCTCAGATTATACAGCGTCAAATGAGGGGATAATAGTGAAAGATTAATTTAAAGGAAGTGGTTGTGGCCAGCCTAATTTAAGGGACTAACACAAGGTATTGAGGAAAACCATGAAAATCCTCACTCAGGATAGGCCGGTCTCAGGGCCGAGATCTGAACCCAGGACCTCCTGAACACGAAGAAAAAGCACAAACCACTCGATCACAAAGTTCGGTCGGTAATTCTAGGTTCACATTCCTCCACCAAAGCGACAGTTGTTCCCCGAGCGGAGGTTCTGGTCGGGTGAGCGTATGGCAAATACGCCTCAACATACACAGCTGCCTACGCCAAGACAATGGAATGCCGGCGGGTCGAGTTTGTGGGAAACTGCGTTATCTTGCGAGCTCCCGCGGCCGGGCGCAAGTTTGCCTGTGCTGCTATCTGCAGCCTGACCACGCATATTAGAGTCTAGAGCAACATCGCCATCAGGTTTTCTGTCGTCTAAATAACTTTGCTTCTGTGACATGCTGCCATCTGTCGACAGGTCCTGAACACTGTTCTGCACGTAGCTCGCGTGAATCTCGGTGTTATTGCTGGGGTAATGCTGGGGGTAAACTGAGCGGGCCCCTGCAGGGGTCCGGAAGGGGCCCCCCTGTTCATTGCTGGATGGGACACCGGTCGCCAGATACTGCTGAAAGTGGTGCAGTGGGGTGTAGCCCCCGACCGGGGCCCCGGATCCACTATACATTGCGAGCATGTCACCAAACGTGGATTCTGTCCCAGTAGACATCGACGTGGATGCACTTCGCGGGTGGTGTAGGCCGTGATTGCCGCTGCTTTCCGAGCCAGCGGCGCCGTACGCCGCCATGTTGAACAGCGCTTCGGGGTCGCACACAAACTTGTACACGTAGCGCTCCCCTGCGGCAAACATTCAAATCACTACCGAAATCGGAAATCAAGTTTTTTGCATTCGTGCATTGCCATGCAGAAACATATTTAAACACGAACACATGCCAGACACACACGACACCGCTGACATAACCCAGCGGTTGGATTATTCAGTGTTTGAGTCCGTGAAGAAGGTCTACGATTCCCAAGGCGAATCAACCACATTTCGATATCCGATTTTTAGGAATTTCTGGGACACGCTGAACACAGTATATAAAACACACAGATCAACAAAATTAACGTGCATATTGGTTTAAAAAAACGGTGCAAAAATTAACGAAACGAAACATTCTCAAACAGACTTAAAAAAAAGTAATTCAAAAACGTAAACAGATTGATGGACAGGATGCAGGCTTCAGACAGACGACAGTCAGAGTTTCTATTGTCTGTCCATTTGAATGTGCAAAATATTCAGCAGACGTTAAAATTATTCCAGCTAGATGCAAAGACAAGGAACTACCAACTTAGACCAACATGCCTACTCGTTAACACCTTATATGTCCAAAATATGAGCTCAAAAAGTCAAATGAGTCAATAGGGGAGTAAAGGTATGGCTCCACTCATTCTTAACCTCAAAATTAAATGTAGGTCAGCCTTCAAAAACCACGAAATGGACCGACGGACCGGTCTGACGGTCCTAACAAAGGTACAAAATCATCCAATTCACTAACTAACAAACAAACACAACAACCAAAGAACTGAAAAGCGCTAATCTAATTCACTAGGTCCACGAGACACGTTTTTAAGGCAGAATACGAACGTCTAAACATCATCTGCGTCATATTTAGTATGTACGAGAAAACAAATAAATTCGCAAGGACGCCATGTTTGTTTAAATAAAACACGGAACTCACCGGCCACCTTCTGCATAATGCCTTTCTCGTAGTAGTAGCGCAACGAGCGACTTAGTTTGTCATAGTTCATGGCAGGCCGATTCTTCTGCACGCCCCAGCGTCGCGCCACCTAAAATACAAGCAAATATTTCAACCCTGTCCTTGCTACGAACGACATATCTCGTTGCTACAGGACTCAGCTTAATATCGCGCTATAAATCTGTTTTGTATTCATGATTCTCACTGTAAACAGCGATTATTTACTTAAACAGCGTTAACCAGTCGATCCTTGTAATGGTGAAGTGAAGTGTTTTCTTCGCGGTACGGGCTGAATTCTTAAATGTTATTCAGACGAGCGTAGGCTTCAAGAGATGCTTATGTCCGGTCGCAAAATTCTCACAGACAGCCAAAGAAATCCGTAAATGTAGCGAAGTTCAAATAACCTCGACCTACTTACGGCCTCCACTAACAAATCAATTTTACATTAACAAAGACGACAAGAGAACACTAGATTCGACGAACGCGTGTCACAAATCCGTCTCCTGTACAAACCAAATGTTCGTAACTATTCTGGGAAGTTGCTACTTCCAACATCATCGTCCTGATGATGGAGGTAGTAAACACCTGTGAAACGTCGGTCAATTTCTGCGAGACTACAAGCCACAACCTCCCATAAGACGCCAAGTTGCACTGTAAGTTATAATGGCTTTCGATCGAAATGAGGTAAGGCGGTCGAAGTTTGGAAGAAGTTTAATTCCGATGGGACAGTGGTACCAACTTAACGAGACACTGATGTATTCGAGTATTCAAATGGGTTAAGACGATGCACGCGCGTTCTCTGGCCCTGAAACCGGCCATCCTAACCGGGGATGTCCGAGGTATTCCTCAGTATCTCCGACTGATGCCACGATAGTACACTGATACACGTCGCGATGGCCATTCTGTACAGATATTTGTCTATTGGCCGATCATGAACAGGTCCAGGAACCTTCTGTTCGACAACTCACCTCCTCCGGTTCCACCAGCTTGAACTCCATGCCTCGTCCCGTCCACGCGATGCAAGAGTTGTTACTGGGATCGTCGAGGAGCGCTACGAGGAACTGCCACAGCTGCAGAGAGCCGCGACGCTGCTGGTAGCCAGTCGCGCCGGAAGTTCCTTCACCAGTCCAGCATCCGGAAGTGACGGAGGACGTGGAAGGAGGCCGACTGCTACCTCCAGCTCCGGGGATACCCTCCCCGCCCTCTCGTTTCGTGTACTCTGACAACAACACAACGATCAGCTTATCACTTGTTACTGCTAAGTAGAAAGCCTCGTTTCCTGCGTCCATTTCTCTCGTCATACGTACAGGCGCCACTAATGATAACAGATGATTGGCGCTGTTTCCCTTAGTAACACTGTCTCTAATTGGGCTATTGTACCAACCCCTGGCAAAAATCACCAGTGTAGTAGCTAACACCAAAATACACCACCACGTAGGGCCCTGAACCACTTACATTCTCCTCATATCTTCACACACGACTCCCCAAAGACCCAGAAATTCTTTCTCTATTTATTATTTCTCAATCCTAGTCACGTGTTGAGAGCATCGTAATTAAACATGTCGAAGCTTTAACAAATCCACGCGACATGTGTAAATCGCGAAATTTCTCGTTCTGTGCCTACTCATTTTTTAATATTATCATTCTCTGGACCAAATATTTTCTTTCGTGACTGTGATTCATTATAGGAATTAGCTACTTTTCTGAAACTTTCCGCTGTCTCAGGCCCTGGTTAATAGTCTACATGAATACATCAATTAAGCTAGGCTGGTCTATGATGTTGTTTCGGAGATAAAGGTTGACGTAGTATGTTTCTCCGAAACGTCGGTATGAACCTACGACTAAACAGCGTAAAACGCAGAAGAATAACATCGTAATCCAACCCAGCTTAACTGATACATGCGTAAAGACTATTTATCAAAACAGGTGTTCCTTTAATTGAAATTTCTCGGACCGTCCATCTAATTCAGAACACCCACCGTCAGTCAGATTCCTGGAGTCGCCACGCGTCGTTCCAACTGCGGTCGCCAGGAACAGACCTCCGCCGGCACCTGTCGGATGCGAACCGCTAACATAGCTCTCGCCTCCAGCTGAGCCTGCAACCAGCACAAACGCCGAAAAGGCGTGCTCTAAGCCTGAGCAGGACCACAGTAAACACCGATCACGACAAAATACGAACAGAGTTCGAATCTTCCTCTTTCAGAAAAAAATTCTGTTTGTGATATTTCAGGTTCTGATTGCGATGTTTGTCCTTGGTTTGTGAAGTCTGGAGTCTAGAAATTCACCGACGTTTCAGATGTGTTTACTGCCTCCATCATCAGGGCGATCAGTCTATAATAATTACTTGGGCCAGAGAGAAATTATAAAATCTTCGCTAAATGTACTGAGCGTACTTTTCTTTCCTTATAGATTTAAAATTATGTAGATTAATCTGTTGCTTTAAAGGATCCTGCCCAGTGGTTGGCGAGAGAAAAGATCTGCTAACACAATGCAGTGCGAAGTTTCGTCTGAAAAATGACAAGTGCTTTTAAGTGTCTCTCCAAAGTGACTCATTTATCTCGGAAGAAATATAGGATAAAAGTCTGAAGGTTTCGGAAGATTGTGACTTATCATGTGTGAGACTTCTTTTGGACGAAGCCCGTCTTCTGAATTATGGAATTACAATACTTTTATGCTTATAAACGGGAAAGGTTTGAGGCTAGCTCAACCAGGGAGAGCAAAAGATAGGCTTTGCCCCTTTCACCTGATGACGACAGCAAAATCCGGCTTCCGAAACGTTGCGACTTTATAATTGAGACGATGGACAAAGTTCAAAAGAAAATTTTTACGAAGAATATGACGTCTTAGAAAGGTTTACATGTTCCGACTGTCATATATCATAAAATTTCAGAACCACTAGTACAATCGCGGAGGGAAATTTTATATTGTTGCCAATTTAGTCTTGTCATGTTGGCAAGAGTCCCCTAGCTCGCATTGAAATATGACAGAAACACGTAACGCATACATTCACGTTAAAAAAGAACGAAAAAATAAAAATTCTTTGTATATCTGCAGCTCCCCTCCCGATATTCTTCAAGAATACTTCAACCCCCAACCCTCAACTCAGTTCCCATTACGGAACGACGAAGAATCCACAAAGTCGTGGGATGGATTCGCCACGGGAGATGATCTCGAGCTGACAGCAGACCTGACGTCATCGGCCTTTGAGTCGGGCCGGGCTGCGAGCTTAAGGAGACAGCGCAGTGCCTCAGTACGACAAACAGCAAAACAGATTCAGTACGCAGTTGATAAACATCATTAGGTTTTACCTACACTTTCTCATTCACTCTAAACCCGTCAAAAATGACGGGAAAAATCTAAATAGTACTTAAAAACACAAAACAGCAAGTAGAAATTAAAAATAACTGAGGTTCTATAACAAAAATAATATTTTATATCTGCTTAATTAAAGAAATAATACGATTTCACGTCTCAAATAAGATATTTATCGTCCGCCATGTTGTAATTATTGATTGAAATAAATTAAAAATTACGAATTTGGTGTAGATTCTAATAGCATAATTATCGCATGGCAGAAGTCAAATGTTTCGAGAAAAAGAAATGTGTTAACCGGTTCAAAACATGGATTGGGGGAACACAGAATGGCGATCTGATGAAACCCGCGTTCCTTCGACATTTATCCAACTTCGTGTTGGGCATTTCGAGCGGGCGGGTCTTCCAAACTGTGAAGTGACCCTTTGTTTGTCGAAATTAAAAAGGGAGCATTTTGTAAAGTCAACACTGATCTGAACAGCGTGTTCCCTGCCATAAGCTAACTTGTAATGGTACGTCACAACAAACAAACAAAAAACAATTCCCATTACTACTCCTTGCCTGTGAAAATAACAGAATATTTTACATGAATTTCATGTAAAACCGAAAAAAAGTTAAAAACATGCAAATTCCATGTCGAGCAGATGCTTCAGCTGGTAGGAAAATCGTACCACCGCAGGGCGGACTGGGAATGGACAGTCACGACGCACTTACTAGACCTCCAGGTATCGCGATCATATCGAAGTAAAAGTTCGTGGTGAAATTATTTAAATAAATCCTGCTATTATATGGTTTAATTTATAGGGACGATAAATAATGTCCCTTTCCGTGCTATGACCGAGGTATCTCGTTAAGAAGTAACGTATAATACCGTACCTTAATTCCATGAAATACTCCTAAATTCTAATAATAAGAATTAAAGGAAATATCTTTTCATTTCTTGACAATTCAAAACAGCAATTTGTAACTATTCAAGAATGAAAATTACAGGTGCCAAATCAAATTTAAAATAAAGGATAACGACTTTTTTAAATTAAAATCAGTTTGCATTCCTACCCTCCGCCCCAGAGCCAATAAGATGCCTCAGTCTTCAGGGTAGATGGAGACAGTAGGTTTCTATAAAACTTTGCTAACTATACTTATAAGATTAGACGATTTTACAACCCTGGGGTCGCAGTCCCACCGATAAGCACGAAACTGCAAACAAACACAGTTAACCGGAGATATAAAACCACGTAGAACAGCAGAGTAAGATGGAAAGATGGTTATGAACTTGGTTTCTACCTACTTCACTGTCATGTGGATAGTTTTAGCAGCACGAGAAAGTCCTTTTCGAGGTAAAATGAACTGTTTCAGGGAGTCGACGTTCCCTAGGGACAGTTGGCAGGTAAATGTTACCAGATCCTAGAGCCCCTAATGAAAAATACACGGCATTTATACCCAGATTACCCCGCACTTAGAGGCAGGCAGGGAGGGGGGGATCATATACAGCACTTAAATGTGCTTCAGCTCGTCTACATATTATGCTATTAATTAATTCAAGCTGTCTGTATTGTCAGTCGTTAAACACATTAGCGTTTTATTTCAACCAGCTACAAGCTCGCTAGGGAGATGAATAAGTGATGAACTGGAGGGAAAAAATATGACGAGAGTAAGTTATGGGATTTCACTGATGCGAGGCTCTCGAGATGAACGTCGTGTTTAAGGTCCGCGGTTCGATTAACATCTTTCTAGTTGTCCGAGTTAACACTTTCAAGGGTTCTGGAATTTTAAGGGATGTATCCTGTTGGGTTGACAGTCCATCTGCACATTTTTTTTTATTATAGAGTCAATTTTTATTAAGATCCACTACATGTTTCGACTTTAATTGGTCATCTTCAGGTGGTTTTCTTTAAATGTTAGAAACTCAACTGTATACACACTTTCTGTTGCTGACTTCGCCACGTCTTAAGAAGTTTACCTGCTTAAGTAGAGTGAACTATGCAGCTGTAGTTACTGGCGGAAAGCTGAACTTTAAGCTTACTTATCATCCAAGTGTGTTCTTTACAACTTTACTCAGCTCTGAGGCCAATATTTTGACTTATCGCATATAATAAAATACAATGTAAACAAATACATAGACAAATAATCTCGTGGTTTATTAATTTGTAGTTTATTTAACGATGTTTTTCAGTAGTTCAGACTATTTAACGTCGAATGAGGATGGTAGTTAATAATGAATTGGAAAGGATGTGGAAGGAAGCGGCCGTGGCCTATTTTAAGATACTATCCCGGCATTTGCCTGGAAGGACTGAGGAAAACCACGGAGAAAAAACCCAGTTAGGATAGCCGGTCTCCGGGAACGTGGGACCTCCCGAATACGAAGTAGAGTGGTGAAGGTCGCGATTAGATGATTAGATTAGAAACAAATGGGTGTGTATTTGCTATAAATGAACATCGATGTCCCTTTATAACTGGATGAAATATTACGAGCCGTGAGGTTAAGCGATCCCCGACGTGAAACTCGGGTAAAAAAAAATGTAATTTCTTCCACGAATTTCGGTACGTACTTAAGAAATGTTATCAGAACCCTTTGGTCCAGAGCCGAGTTGCGACACAGGAACGCGCGGACAAGGCGAACTGACGGGGAACGAGCCTAGAAGCGTGGGACGTGAACGGAATAAGCCAGTGCATTGCCAATTCCGGGTGTTTCTCCGCTGTTTCAGAAAAAAAAAATATCGAAGTCGTAATCTGTATTGAAGCCGTATAAAGTTATTACTTACATAAACAAAGTTTGCGGGGCCCCCCAGCAGGGACTGTCGCGAGGGGACTGTTTCTGGGGAAATGGGAAATGAAGTATCGACTAAGATTCGTCGACCTCTCGCAAAGCAACTGGTTCCTGGGATTTTGATTCGTAACTAACTATTGCCGCTATGAATGTCGACCTTGAAGGGCTGAGAGTTATTAAAAAGACAGATGACAAGGGAAGAAATGTTTATCGTCCTCTGTTTTCATTCAGACAAGGTGTAAAGTTCGCATTTAATTTAACAAATGATGTGATACAGAGCGTTCGCTGATAAAGTTGAACGCAAATGTCACTTCCCGACTCCAGGGACGAACTTCCGTAACAAGGGAGAGTTTATTTTATTGCTTTTATGGAGACATATTTGACTCAGATCAGCGCCTGGAGGTGAGTTATGCAGCTCCAACCTTGAGCCGGAAAGTGACAGTTGCTTTTTTTTTTACTTTACTAATAAACACACTGTATAACTAAATAGAGAGGGAGCTTCCTCGGTTTCCGAGGACTGTAAGAGACGCGGGTCGTGTCAATTAGGATTAGAGCGCGCAGAGACTGGGTCCCGGCCGGGATTTCATATGATATGCAAAACTTCGTTACACCCACGTGATTAATTAAAAAGCGAGATTACTGGGGGAATTACTTTCCTGGTTCTTGTAACAGCTTTGTTCGGGCTGCACAATTATTGTTTGATTATAAATAAATGGATGCTGTATGTTATTTTGCAACTGGGTTAATAGAGCTGCTAATAGCTGATGAGCATAAACAAAAATAAATGTGTTGGTTGATTAACCACAATACAGTCACTGTTTATCACTCTGGGATGTAATGACCTGGTCCAGCGGCGAATATACTTTGCTTGTTTACGATCTAACATAATTTTCTGAGTTAAAATTTGAGCGGGACTAAGTATGTTTACGAAATATGCTCTTTCCTTATTTCTCATAATTAGTTGTCCTTATTGATTTTATTCTTTACGATTAGAGACGCCGTGTGAACACGTACGTA